CTGCAATATTCTTTAGCTTCTTTAGTCTAACCTTACTGTGGACTTGATGGTGAACTATCACACAAAATAATGCATTGATTATTCAAATAATCTTTTAAAATGATGCATTATTAGCATCTTTTTTTGGCTGAAAACTATTGTTGAAATGTGATAAAAGCGTTTCGATTTTTACGGCTTTAATTCACCAAAAAACTGATGGATTTTAACAGGAGTCAGTCTTTCTAATTTTTCCTGACAGCCATTACTGCTGTTTTTGTTTGAACCTGGTCTCAGTTATCAATATTTAAGCCTGTTTGATCTGGCAGGTTAATGTTTCCTGCTTCAATATGTCCAAACAAGTAACCTAACTCATAACGGTACCTTAAATAAGAACTGTCCCTTCTTTTAGCGCTGTAAGTATCTCTGCTACCTCTTCCTTATTCATCTGCTAGCTACCTCTTGTAGAAATCTTGCTCTCTGCTACCTCTCGCACCCTTTAGCTACCTCTGGTTAGCCTTTTCTTTTCATTTGAGTCTGTTTTTGAGTGCTGCCCACATGACTGCTGTCATCGCTGCCCTCTTCTCCCAGGCTGCAGGAAGAAGAAACACAAAGTCGTTCTCTCGCGCTCTCATTCACCGTGCCCTCTTCGTTTTTCTTTTGCTCTCTTGTATGTTAACATCTAACTAGGTGTGTGGTTTATCTTCACTTAAACATGACATGATTCTCTGCTTACATATATTATCTTTCATGGAAGCTTTTTGTGTTGATGGTAATGTATTTTTAAGGAGAAGTTTTGTGTAGATGGAAGTTTTCTCTGTTTGTAGCATTTGTTTTTGTTTTCTTTTTTATTTTGTATGAGGTCTGTTGGTACTTGGACCTAGACACTGTCAAATAAACTGTGTTTTCTAATAGCTGTTTTGTTTGTTTGTTTTTTTTCCTCCTCACTTTCAAAAAAACAGTACAAACCCAATATTTTTAGAAAGACTTCCCAACTATTTTAAACAGAATATTTACTTAATTCCTCAGTGGTTTATTATTCAGCGTTGATTAGACAAATTAGTCGTTTCCTCTCAAAGAAAGCAACCAGCTGCATTCAATAATATCCAATGGCAGGTCAAGATAAAAAGTGGTATAATAGATTCATTCTGTGGCGTTTAAGAATCGTTAGTGTTTCCTTCCATTGTGTTTGTTTTTATCACAGAACTGTTGATCCACGAAGAAAAGGTGGATTATCTGGTTTGCTATTGTGTTAGGATTAGGGGCAATGCTATGAAACATCTGCACATGAGCTATTTACATTATGTGATATATGGTTAAGGCTTATCCAGCAATTGTAAAGAAAAACTTAGATTAGATTTCCTCAGACTGAGTTAAGCCATCTTCAGTATGTAGCTGAGATCCATTATTATATCAGGTATCTGTGATGTTTGTAATATCAAGGCAGGATGCAAAACGAAATGTTAAAGGGGAAAATGCTGCTGGATATCATTTGAAATGAGGTTTTAAAATTTGTTAAAACATGCATAATGACTGATCAGCATGTATGCATAAAAAATGTTGAAGATGCCTTATGATCTCCTCTTTTTATTGAGTTGAAAAGAAAAAAACAAAATTAGTCTGTGTGGAAATTTGCTTGTACTGTTTTTTTGTTTTTGTTTTTTTTAATGCATAAAACTGCCTGTAGCATCTGTGGGAACACACAAAGAATAAGTGAGTCCTGATGCCGTTTCAAACCTAATCCGAACCGCCTGGTAATGTAATCTGGTGGGGGCGGATTTCAGCTTCCAGCAGATTGAGCATGAGTTTGTTATTGAGTTGGATGAAGAGCCGGAGACAGATTACTCACCCAGATGGGAGGGTAGAAAGAGGCTGGTACCTCTTGAACTTAAAAAGGGCATCTGAATTGATGGGCATCCCCCATTCAGATGGGTGGCAGGATGTAGAACAGCTGCTAAAGTAACTGTAGGTTCCTAAACATTTTAAAATACTATGTATACTACATTAAAGTTAGCTTGTGTGCACGTCTGAACTTCCAGCCAAACATTCCAACAGGAGGCTACTAGCCTTTTCTGTTCCCATCAGCAGTTCAGAGAGTTTATGAAGAAGGTATGTTAGATCCCTGGAAATCTCAGATTGTCTTCAGCTTTCCTAACTTACTGTAATGAGATGCAATGAGTCAGAATGCTTTCAACCATGATTCTGGTGGCGAAAGGCTTGTTTCAGCTCCTTCAGGAAGCATTTTGAGTTTTATTGGAAGGATCCCCATTAGCTACAATTAAACTGCAGCTATTCTTCCTGGGGTCCTGAAAAATATATACCATCCATTATCTGACACGCTTATCCCAATTGGGGTTGCGAGGGGTGCTGGTGCCTATCTCCAGCAGTCAATGGACGAGTGGCGGGGTACACCCTGGACAGGGCAACACAGAGACAAACAGGACATAGAACCATTCACGCACACACTCACACCTAAGGAGAATCTAGAGAAGCCAATTAACCTAACATTCATGTTTTTGGACTGTGGAAGGAAGCCGGAGTACCCAGAGAGAACCCATGCATGCTAAGGGAGAACATGCAAACTCCATGCAGAAAGAACCTGGGCCAGGACTCGAACCCAGTTGCCCCTTCTTGCTGCAAGGCAGCAGTGCTACTCACTGCGCCACTGAGCAGCCCCCAAAATAATACAAAAATATATACATTAAAAACAAAGAATACAACAAATAAATGAAAGGGAAAGAAAAGAAAATACATATACAATATATACACATTTTAACATGCATATGTGCCCTCATACGGGCATAAAAATATATACAAATATAAAAACACATTCTAAACTTACACCTGTAAACATACCTACACATATACATACATATTCGTACAAATATTCTCTGCTAGGACTCCAGAAAATTATAGCTGAGGTGCTGTTCTAGCTGTACAAAAGGAAAATTCAGGTCTTTTGCGATCTGCACACCGTGAAACCTGAAGTCCTATAGCATCTACTGTGGCTATGGAGGCGTGCTCATGACATGACCTCCACAGGTTTATCACTATCCTTTTTTTTAAATATATATATATATATATATATATATATATATATATATATATATATATCCTTACTTAGCAAATTTATGCTGCACCAACCAATGCCCAACTTCTTCTCTGGACTTTAATCCCTTGTTTTTACTGTTGAGGTCCACTGTTGTGTCATCCATTAACTTGCTGATTTTTTCGCCCATGTCTGGCTGCTCAGCTCTGCTTTAGAAGTGTAAACGATAAACTGAGCTCACAGCCCTGGGGAAACACAATACTTTGTGTGATGGAGTGAGCAGTTTTTTTTTTTTTAAACCAGGACAGATTAAGGTTAGTTTAAAAAAAATCCAATGTCCCAGAGATAGCAAAAGACAACAACAAAAAAAAAAAAAAATTAAGCCTAATCATTAGATAATAAGCACAATAACAGATAAACGCTGACATTGATATCAATATGGCATTGGCTGCACTAATGTACTGAACCTTTTCAAGGCAGTAAATACTCTGCATTTTGCTGCAGCCTATTGAGAATATGTGACAAAGGTTTGATTTCACTCCATGACCCAAACACTTGCATATTGACCTTTAACTGACACTGCAGCCTATTTATAGCATGATAAAATACTGCTGATGTAGGAAAGTCAGTTTTTCTTATTTCATAGGTTTCCTCTCCCCCTCAACAAATTTAACACTGCTGAAAAATTGCATCTATGTAAAAAAAAAAAAAAAAACATTCAGTGCTTTATGTTTTAGATTAAGTTTTTCTTGACATAAAATCTCTTAAACTGAGTAGCAGTTATATGTTTATCTAAAGCAAAAGACATGTTTCACACCAAACTGCTGAAGGTGGAGATTTGTCCAAATATCCTTATTGTTAACTGTGGAAATAAAATCACTGTTTTTATATTTGATTTTCTTGCTTCTTATCAGAAATTCTATCATTATTTGGTCAAATACATTTATTTCACGTATTAAGGAATCTAAAATAAATTCAAGAAGGGTGTAAAGTATCAAAAGATATGGATGAGAGGCACTGTGTATCTGAGGTTCACTTTGCCTTTTTCCCATAGATCATTGGAGACGATCACTTGCCTCCCGTGATCCTGACCAACAAGCTGCAGAATATGAGCTGATAGCGCTGGAAGTATTGACAGATAAAATCCACAAAAAGACGGTTGAGTACTGATGTGCGAAGGTTATGACTTGTGGCAGATTAATTGCACATACGTGAGGCCAGAGGGAGAAGAAACGTTAATTATGAAACATTTTTAGAGGAATGTTGTATATTTAATGTGCCACATGTGTGATCAAGGTTCTTTACTTTTTAGGAACCAGCTTAAAATGTCCCAGAGATTATCTGGCTGTCCCTGAATAATGTGAAAAATAAATGTCATCATGACATAGTGGATAGTAGAAAATGTTTTTTACTCAGCATCCAGTATCCCATCATTTAGGTGGCTTTAAATGAGACATTAAGTGTAATTAATTAAGGTGAATAACTGCATGTACCCGAAAATAAACACCTATTATATTTTTTTTTTTTCCTGGAAATTCTTGACTCTTTAAGTTAAGTGGGTATTTTATGTACTGTCCCTACTTCTTTCCTTTACAATACAGATTATTTTAGTGTGTCTTCCCAGAAGTTTTTAGTCATGGAAAATAATATTAAGAAAATATCTCACTAGAGAAGGCTAGAAAATCTCCAAAATCAACACTTCCACGTGAAATTGTTCAGTTCTGCAAAATGTTTTAAACCTTTCTAATGTTGACCTCCTAGAGTTGACTTTTT